CAGAAAGAGCTTATGTTCAGTACAAACACGATTATAATAGAAACAAAAAAAGAGGTATAATGAAGAGTACATTGCACAGGCTGTCGACAAAACTAAAGCAATATGGAATATTATTAAGTCTGAAAAAGCACCGAATATTACAAAAATCAACAAATCTAAACTCATGGCTGATGAGTTAAACGACTATTTTGCAATGGTAGAATCAGAAACAGCAAGTAAAATAGGAAAAATCAATGTTCCCGCTATTGAAATGCTGAGAAATAATAATATAGATAATGTCCGATCAATCTATTTTTATGAAGCGGATGAAAAAGAAATTAAACAAATTTTAAATGAAATTAAACGTAAACGAACTGAAGATATATTTGGAATTTCAACCACAATTTTGAAGGACTTAGGTGATGTAATAGCGCAACCTATTGCATTAATAATCAATAAATGCATAAACGAAGGGGTGTTTCCAGATGAACTAAATAATGAATTCTCCATCTGGCTGAAAAATGTCCTAATTGAAAAATGTTTCTATTCAATAGAAGATTTTATAAATGAATAATACATGTACTACATCTCTTGTAGGTTTACATGTGCATGATAATTTTGTATATATTTATTTTACTTTGATCTGTGCATCTCTGTGTATATGTATTTTAATTTTAATACTAAGGAAGTAACGACGTTGTAATGTTTCATTTACAATGAATAGATTGATTGATTGATATAAGGACACCCTTCTCATCTAAAGACGTATTACGGAGTATTATTGCATAATAAGCATAACATCTTTATGGTCTGGATTGATTACCGGAAGAGCTTTGGTTTAGGTACCCGACAAAATAGTGACATGCCTTCAACAACTGATATAACTCTGAAGGCTTTGCTTCACTATAATATCTGGTCACGATAGAGTTCGGAAAGAGTATCTCATTTTCAGAAGGAATATTTTCAGGGCGATTCCCTCAGTCCCTTTTTTTCGGGTCTTACTAATGCTATTATTCGTTACTCTGCAAATAACTGGAACCTTCGGAAACTGGAAGCAAAATATTACCAATTTGTTTTTATTTGGACGATGTGGGGAATACCTGGATGCCGAAGGGACGTATAAGTTACCTCGGGGTGGAACAACATCACTCACAAGAGGTAGCCTCAGTGAAAATCCCCGCGACAACAATTAGCATGAAAACCTACAGAAATGTGCCTCCTATATAGTGTTTTAAACACAATAATACTTTTTTGACAATGAGGAGAAATGAACTTTTGAGATAGAACGGTACTGAATGGAGCCTGCACACTCATAAGGAGTGCACAGTTCTTGTATGGTTCTTGACCATGAGTGAGCAGAAATGAATTGGTCAGTATTTTTTATAAGTTAAGCGCTCGAGCGACGGATAAACATTTGGTTTAGTTTTCGACATTGAACGTGGTGACCACAAACGTGTCACCAAGTTGAAAACCGCTTGGCAGAAGGTTAAGTAGAAACCGAGAGGTTCATTTTACGGCCTGCCAGGATGGTATCTTCGACAAATTGATAAGTTAAAACAGTCGTTTTGATTATTGGAGTACCAATCACCTCTCGAATCATCCTCTATATGTCTCTATATGTGTATATTTTATTTAGCTATTGGATACTTCTTTTACATAGCTCTTAACGTCTACTTACTACCTTCAAAGCAGGGCTATTTTTAAAATATGACAGTACGATTATCAGCAATATATTTATGATCTGTCTAGACTTTGTATCAGAACTGTTGTACATTGACACTTTCTAAAAAAAGTCGTTTATTTATAACAGTAATTTTGCTTTGAAGCTAGCAAGTACGCATACATTTTCGAGTACATATTTATTGCCAAAATACGAGTAGTGCCTCTGCTGAAAGAACGACGGGACCGAGATCGTAGGCTATACTTTTCGCCATCTTAACTATTCACAACACCAGCGTCTTTCGGTATGCCATGGAAAGCCCGATGAACCTTCACCTTTTTCATGATCTGAAAGCTAGAAAATTTGATTTCAGAAAACGGCTCAGGCGAAGCTCCCTGTCTTACAGAAACAGGCTTGTCTGGCTATCTGTGATGCCATCAGTACCACACCGTCGGCAGCCATGGAGATCCTTCTAGATCTACCTCCTTTACACATTTTTCTGGAAAGAGAGAGGCTAGATGGACTGCATACCTACTTGTGCACATTGCCAATTGCACAAATCAGTCTAATACAGAGTAAACTAGACTGCTGGTTCTGGAAGTCACATCATTCTGGAAATGCCTCCGACTGTCATCTACGAACTGTTTTATACAGTACTTTTTTCCGAGTAGAGAGGACTGGATCCTCCGGGCAGTGACGGCTCGCGCATGGGAGAAAAGGGGAGGCTGAAGTCATAAAGACTATATAGGTACACACAGAAAAGCCCGCTGGAGGCGCGAAAATTTTTATGTTGTTGCACGCTTTCCTTTATACTAAAGTTAGGGCATGGGCATGACAATGCGTAAAAAGTGCATGAGGAGCTATGGACTTCATTTTAGTTTGTAAACCATTTAAATGGCCGGCCATGATCGCAGCCCCATCATAGGTTTGCACAATTAACTTTTGATTAAAATTATAGGTGTCACACGTACAAATTAAAAAATTAAACAAATCGTCTGCTGTGCGCCCAGATGAAACATCATGAAAACCCATAAAACGTTCTACCACATTACCATCTTCGACATATCTTAAAACTATTGAAAGTTGTGATGTACAGGTAATATAGGTAGTTTCATCAATTTCCCATGTAAAAAAAGAAACACTTTCAATCTTCTTGCTTATATTTTCCTTAATAATATATGCCACACTGTTTATAAGCTCATTTTGGATGGTTTTTGAGGTGCCCGAAAGAACGCTTAAAAAAGTGCCAAATTGTGAATCATATTTGCCCCATAACATTAAAAGTTCCTTGTTATTGCCGCGAATGATCGAATCTTCGGTTTCATCGTGTCCGCGAAGAGCTAATTCTTGGGAACCCAAATAAATCGTAATATCGATAAGTCTTTTTAAATTCGACCCATTTTCCCTAACCTGATTATTAAAAGAAATTATGGCCTGTTTTTGAGCTGTATCGAAAGCTGTTGCTATATTTTGTTTGCTAAACAATTTTAATTTACAAGACGAAAATAAATGCTCCTTAGATTTAAAATGTCTTTCTAAAGAACGAGGTAAATTTTTCAAATCGGAGTATCCTATTTTAGACCACGTTTGGTATTCGGTTTGTACGGAAAATAAAACACAGGGCCAACAAAAAAGTTTTTCTAGTTTAATGGAGCCGGTTAACCAATCGCATTTATCATACCAAATAATATTAAATCCTCGATTTTGTCGATCATCTGACGTTTTAATTGAAATAAAATTTGGTTGAGGCCTTCCCAGAGTTTTAATAATGTAAAATTTATTATCATAAGATAAAGACTTAAAACTATTTGTCAGCAACCAATCGACTATATCGTCAGATTTTTTAATTTCGTCCAACTTATCCATAATAAATTAAAAAAAACTTACCGAAAAGTGAAAACCTGAAAACACCTTGAAATTGAAAGAAAACATTTTAAAAACACATTAAACATATTACCAAAAAGTACTGCTATAATAAAATACTGCCTGTTTTATACACAAATAACAAATATTATCAAGAAACAATAAAACGGTTCACCGAAATATTTTTCAGTCCCTGTCCGTCACGGCATCCAGTCCGAATAATCAAATAAAAAACAAACGCAGTCGTACACTAACGGAGACCAACTGGAGGCTAGCCTCCTCTAACGCTATAATTTTTGCAAATCGGGACGTATGTCGATGGTTGGATCGGTCTCGTGGAGCCTGTGGTTTTCAAAGCGGTCGGAGGCTTGGCTCCCTTGTAACGTATGGCATTTATTATTTCGGGTTGATGGTTTATTCGTTATTGGTTCATGGGCGGTGTGTTTGAGTTTTGTTGATGCAGGATACAGTGTGGTACGTACTACGTAGTGAGTGATAGTGTTTTTTCGGGCATATTATGTATTTATATTGAAAATTAATGGTAAAGTAATGATAAGCAAGCATTTTTAGAAAAAAATATTCATAATTATTTGTAAATATTTTTTAATTTATTGTGATGAATAGCCTCAAATTTTATGGGGAGGCTAAGCCTACCTTGCCTCCTCTGACGAGCCGCCGCTGCCTCCGGGAGAAGGAAATATTAAGGGCAAATAGTTGTTGATTCACAGATGGATCAAAAATACCTTCAGGCTCTGGTGCAGATTTTTTCAGTTACAGCACAGAGATATCAACCTGCCTTGGGACCTATGCGACTTTATTTCAAACAGAAATCTATGCTATTGAATTGTGTGCGGATAGATTCGTAGAATCCAACCTCACACACAAGTCAATACAAATTTTCTTGGACAGTCAAGTGGCGTTTGAAGCTCTTGGTTCCTACCTAGTAACGTCTAAATTGGTAGCAAATTGCCAAAAACGACTGATGATGAAACATCAGAGCATATACTCTGTGCCGGCCCCGCTGGGGACTAAATCAGGTTTTCAGAGTTTGGTAGAACTACACTCTTACCATCTGACCTCTTACCACTCACCATACAAACTAATCGGTTTCGTTAAGAAGTTGGATTTATTTGGTCGAGTTTGAATAGGTGTGAGCCACAATAAACCTTTGCGGATTGCGGTGGAGGGTCGAATAGACCCACTTACTTCTGACTTAATCACAGTTACAATTTCAACAGAATTTTTAGAGAGAGAGAGAGAGAGAGAGAGAGCCCACGGAGTTCCAAGAAATTTTCATCATACTTTCGAACGATTTTCTACTTACCTGGAGAAAAAACCCCATGACTTACTATGATGATCGAGGAGAACTAAATCCTTATTAGCTTGTATCTGACTGAGGATACTCATGGTTTCTGACTTCAGAATACAGTTAACCACAAGATATTCCTATTCTATTCTGAAAAGCAAAAAATGATAGGCAAGGAACTGAAACAAAGCGTTATTAATATAAATTAATTTAATAAATATCAAAAATAATTTGGTGGCAAGCCGTTTGTAATGGCTGTTACAAACTGCTTGTCCAAAATGAATGGATTTGGGAACAGTTCCTAATAAATTCAAATGAACTATAAGCATGATGTTAGAAACTTCATAAAGTAAATTGTGCATCATAGATAGAAAAATGCGTACTTTAAAAATCAAAGTTGAAAGTACTCAAATTTTAAAACTTCTACCTCATTAGGCAGTTTCTACTTGAAGACAACTAAATGGCTGTTTAGCTGTCTTGTATCATTTTTTCAAATCTGACGAAAACTTCATTTTCCAGCATAAAAACTACGAAACTACCTTCGCAGGCATAGATACATATTTGTCTTATAAATTTTCTACAATACCCAAGACCAACAAATAACAATAATTTCCTAATGATATTCGTAAATTATGAAAGAAAACATGTTTTTGTGACTTTTTGCTAGGAAACGATGTATGTATTCATCATATTCATTTTATGCCCGAGGTTCCACTACTACTTACAAAACTGGTTTTCCAGACTATTTTCACAAAAGTATAAAATTCCTATAAATTAGGTTTAATAAAGTGGTAACATGAATGCGACTTGTTTTTCTTCTATTGGTATTAGTTTATATACCTCTTACTGAGCTTAAATTACTTATTGTAACTGTACAACATTTTCATCTAAAATGTCTTAGATAATAATATTGCTAACTAATACATTGTCTAATTTATTATCTACAGATCATTCTAAACTTTATGCATTTTACATATAACTTTCCTTGGTAACAATACGAAACAAGTTCAAACTATTTTATGATAATTTTCTTCAAAATGAATATAAGGGGATATTTACACGTAGTTGGAGTTGAAAATGCTATTTGAAACGTACTGAGTAATTAAAAAATCATATACGATTGAAACTTTCTTTGTGAAAAATGAATAATAAGTTCCATTTTGTTCTTTAAGTTCTTTGAATGTAAGTAACCGTTTTGTGTGAATTTTAGACTGCACGGGCCCTATCGTCAGCATTAAAACTCACTGGTTGGGAGTACACAAGAAAAGTTGATTTTTTTTCTTCAATTTATCCACCAATATCGCTTTATAAAAAAACTGTGTAATCATCCAATAATAAAATATTATCACCAGATGCTGGCTGTATTACACAAGTTTCATAGACAAGTGAATACTTTTTCACAGTAGAATTTTGTATTTCTCACCAAGGAATTTTACTAGTTCACACGTACTAGTTGGAACATAATAGGAAATGTGACATTTTTCAACATCAAACATTGAGTACATGGATTTACAAGCAAATAATTCTAATGTTTACTGGCTAAATCATTCATTAGCATTTCTGGAGATTAGTATTCACATTGACTTGAATTATTGAATATTTCGTAGTCGATAGTTCTATATATACACCATGAGCGTTCAGTCGATATTGATGTTGAATATTTGACGAATCTGCCATTATAAGTTATAGTAAGTTATACAAGATGAGAGAATTAACTGGCTGATTCATACACCAAATATTTTATCTTTTAATTTTCCTTTGATAAATTTTCCACAATATAAAACAATGAAAGTGATCTAAGTAAAAGTTTGGCTTATGAATCAGCCATAACACTCAGCCGGAAGACACTTTTAGTAGTCTTCCTTACATCAAATCTATTACCAGTATCAAGTTGGCATTGAACAATTTCGAATTTTTCGTAGAATAAATGTCTACAGTAGGGAAGACCGGGGTTGGAAGTCACATTTTTTGTCTTGTGTTTCATTTAGTGTCCTTTTTTATAGATTATCAATGATTTTTTTATAAATAGATAGTGTTTTTTTACTCTTTTGCAAAGAAATATTAATTTTTTCTTCAACATCATCCATAGAGGAAATATAACAATTCTTAAGGAAAAGAAAAAGTGTGTCTTTTAATCCCGGACCGGGGATGATTGTCACAGTATATGAGGCAGTGGTCACATATGTAATGAAAACGGATAGTAATATCATGAACCAAAGATGTCACATCAAAAATACATGAAATGATATATATCACCGGAAATTCTAGTAAACTGATGAGACTGTAACCCGGTCTCCCCTATTGTGGACGAATTCAACACTTATTTATCTTCATCATAATATTCTACATGATCGTTGAAAAATGCTGAATACTCATTGTTGACTTGTCTACATAACCAGTTTTACTTTGAGAAAATACCATAAAATTTTTAATCCAGAAATAATCACGGGTATAAATGTCACCCTAAAAACGAAAAATATATAACCTCTTGTTTCTAAAATACTGATACAAAAAAATTATCACGTTGAAAATGGAATAGTTCAACTAAAATTTTGCATTCCGCTTTACATATCTTTGTATTCCATTATGAAATATATTTTGATAAAACATCTCTGAAACTGAAAAAAATTGACAAAAAGCGTAAAACAGAATTAATATGGTAACGTGTCTAAAATAATACAATAAATTATATTTAACCAAATATGCTAGGTCGTTATAATATATAAATAATACATCACAGAAAGTCGGTTCCTACACCGACTATCAGCTGAATCTGATATAATCTGATATATAAAAAAGGTCAACTATTGGATTACTTATATCCTGATTGTCGAATGGAAATAATAGCATTTATTCAATTTAATACTGCATCCCACCAATTTCTCAATTTATTTTATACGTTGTTGTATGATTTCAGGAACAACAGGTACAAAACAAAATATTCAACTCCGGAAAAGTTAATGCTTGTGAAATAGTATTCTATTTTCTGTATGGATTTTTTCTCAGTGTGGAACGTGAACACAATAAATTTATTTATGGGGATTGAAATAATTGCAAAATTTTATCTGATTACGAAGTATACCTATCTAATGTAATGTATCGACTACGAGATATCAATTACATATTGGAGAGATATAGATTTATGAAGCGGATACAAATTTCACAAACTGTTAAACATAGTACTCTTGGAACTTCGACAATTTCTTATTTCACACTTCGGCTGGAGCCTGATCTGGAGTTTCAGGCGCCGCTAAACGCACTTGGGTACTTTCTGATTGAACAATTCCATTAACTTGGAGTCCCCTTTGAGTATCAACCCATGGAGTTGTTAGAACTTTCATTCGCTATTGAAACAAAAGAAAAATAATTTCAATTTGACAATATACATTTTTGAGGAAAAGGGGTTTTCATTAGTGTTGAAAGATTGTGACAGAAAAAAGTATATTCAAGTACGCTGATTGAGGACAGCCTCTGTCCAAACCTGTGTTTTCAATATTTAAAATTATGATCACGAAAACCTAATTGAATGTATTTTTTTTATGTAATAGGTCTGAAACTTGTTGAAGAACAATAATCTATTCAAGTAACATTTTATTGTTGAATTTTCAGTGTACAAAACCAAAAAATATGTTTCACTATACAACAAACAGTTCATACTGTATGTGAAACACGTGTAGCGATTTTGTAAACTATTCAGTGAAAATCTCACAATAAAATTTTACTTGAATATTCAATTTCCGCGTTGAATAGCTTTCACGGTGCTGAGCTTTTGGCCACTAAGAAACTAACCACCACTTTGAATAATATTTATTTCAGTCTTACATACTCACAACTGCATTATCTAATTTCTATTTGGGGATCAGCCAATAGATACACAATAAAAATTCTGAACTCTTTACAAAATAAAACTATTAAATCTGTTTAAAATCTGTTTTTCCGTTAATCAGCTGTCACCCCCATACGAACGACAACTCTCAGAAGTTGAGAAACTTGTGCGAGCTAAGGACTAACGAGGTCTTACCTTTTAACGTGTGATTCCTAACACGTCCATCTCGAATATCGAAGATAAATGAGGAATTATTATCAGTTAGTAATTTCAAATCTAATTTTGTTTTTCTGGATATAATTATATAGCAAGATTTTTCCAAATTCAAATGTAACTCACGAGATCCCAAACTAAGAAATATTAGCTTTAAGTCTGATAAAATCGATTTTTCAATGATAAATTTTGGAAAAGTAAATGAGGGTTATATCACCAGCAAAAAGACTGATAGAACCACATAAATTCAGTTTTGTAATATAACTGATGTAAATTAAGAATAGAGTCGGATCTAAAACAGAACCTTGTGGAACCCCTCACTTGATGGTTTTCAATGAACACTTTTTCCTCTGTATATAAGTATACTGCTTTCTGTTGGTAATGTAATTTTGATACCATGTCAATTCCTCTGATGCCATTGAGTTTAATTTTTGCAGAATATCATGATTTACTGTATCGAATACCTTCCGCAAATCAAGTCATAACATACCACAAACATTATTTGAATCTAAGTGGAGTTGAATTTTAGAAAATTTATCTAATACAGCTTACTCTGTGTCACTAGACCTGCGAAAATCTTACTGTCTACTGCAAGTGACTGAAGTTTTTGCCTTAATATGTTTCTTGTAGTGGCGTACAGAAATAATATTAAACAGACAAGTAAAAACGTTTAAAAAATACATATTCTATATATATTCTATATAACCTTGACAAAAATATTTTTGTTTAAATGCAATAATATCTCTGAGGATTCAGTGCCTACTATTATGAAATTGTTCTATATTCATCATTTGAAAGTTGATGTTTCAGGCTGTTTTAAGTCATTTACCCTTCCACAATCAGAAGAATGAACAAAGCTATATCAATAGATAATTTGATAAGTTCAACCGGAGTCAGGCAGAATTTGTAAATACAAATAAAAGCTACTGAAACATAGGATTCTTCAGTGATTTCAATTTGCTCATTCAGATTTCAGATTGTGAAAGTCTTAAAAGCCAAAAAATTCCAAAGAACACAAAATAAATAGTGTTCTTTTAAAATATTTCGTTGCTGTTCAGGTGAAGATTTTCAGAATCGTATTTGAACAATGCCAATGCCGCTGCAATATAATAAATAATGTCAAAAGTATGAACTTTGAGAACTGGCGCATTCGCCATAACTATTATATCATCCACAATTTCTTCAGTAAAACGTTTTCTTTCGGTAATCATCGTGAAAATGCACATTTCAACTTCTGATTTATTAAGACGTTATATCTATCGAGAATTGTTCATCAGTTATTTATTTTCTTCAATGCAAACTAACTGGAGGAAAGAAATGGCATTGAAAGAGAGTGAAAAGAAAGAAAGACAGATTATATACGTTTGAATTAATCACGACCTTTTGTGGTCTGTCTGGTCTCACTCTCATCACAAATGCAGAAAAGGATAATTTGGTAGGATCAGCAGGTCCAAACTAAATGAAATTTACAGAATGTAATGGTATCATTGATCTATGTACAATAAATTTATTCGAAGTACTTGACAACATTATCTGCGATAAATTTGTGAGTGAGAATATTGACGATTCAATCAAAGAAGCTGAATATTTTTGAAATTTTGTATAGAGCCATACTTTTTGTATCAACATTTCACTATAGCTTTGTTTATTTTACAGATCGTGGACGGTTAAATATAAAAAAAAACAGCAAGAAACAAAGTTATGCCAAAGTCACTTCAGACATTCATTCTCATCTTAGAGAATGAACATAATTATTTGAAATGAAAGGGTATATTTTTAGGAGAGATTATTGTTTGGGAAATAAAGGTTTTTGCCTTCTACTTCCTTCTTGATACAAAACATTTCAGAAATTAACTCTATACAAATATGTGTAGATCATGCAAAAAAGTAACTTTCAGACATAAACTGGGAAAAAAAGACCCCTCGAAACAGCTATTTTCATATAAACATTGAATTACACGAAAGAAAAATACTTTCGAAACCAATACTTTTAAATAAACGCTGAATTATACAAATAACACTTTTCTCTATTCCATTTGTATTCCAAACATTCGCATGGAATCAAATCAGATATCATTCACAGGATTGCTACACAATATAATTAATGTCTAGCATTGAGGATGAGAATGTTACATGTAAGTGAAATTTTACTTCTTTCATTAATTAAATTGTATAGGAATCCTGTGAATGACATCTGATTCGATGTTTTTTTCTTAATATTTAAGTTTTCATTTTCTGATGTCTTAAAGCAAGTTCTAGAGGTTTTGGGGTAAACTCGAGCTCATTAGAAAGTTTTCATTAGATATGTATTTGAAATGGCTCATTCATCCTGTTCGGTTTTGCTAACCAGCCTTGACCAAGGGCTTGATATGAGATTGTGTGGTAGTTGGAATAAAAGGACAAACTTTAAATTATAAGAGGTGAAACATTTTCATTGAAAACATATTTTGAATATTTACAATACAACATTTCCATCACTCTTAGTGCCAGAATATTCCACAACATTCTATAGTATTTTGGAAGGTTCCAGGATTTAAGATGTTCTGAAATGTTTCCGAATAATCCAGAATGTTTTGGACTGTTCTAGAAAATTTCTGGAAGGCTAAACTTCCAGCCTTATTTTCAAAGGTACTCCTTTCAGGAAAAAAACTCATGGATGGGGAATAGGGGTACCACACTATATAACTCCTTTGATCGTAACGGGATTCGTTTCTGAGTTTAAGTTTAAAATTTGTCATAGATAATTAAAAGTACTCAAATAATTAATTTCAACCAACCGTAGTCCCAAAAAGAATTTAGAAGAATGCTAAAAACTTTTGATATTGTGTATCAGGTACTACTCATGCAAGTTTCATATTACTGAATTGAATATACCTTGTAGCATGAACCTGATGTGACGGCAAATTTATATACAGCAATAGCAGGAATCATCATCACCGAAGATCCAGCGATCATCCAGCCTAGAACATTAGCCCAGCCAGGATACACATAGTTTTCATAACTGAGTGGCTCATAACCCAGAAGACCATACACGATGATGAATAGCAGAAAAACCGGAGCGGCGAATTTCCAACAAAATCTCCAGTAATATCCGGGTGCAAAACCTATCATGTCTTGGATGTCATCACAAAATCGTTGGGTTCCTGAAATTTCATGCAAATTTTCATTTTAATAAACTGAAGAGTAGCTGATCAAATGCATAGTCTCATTGCTAGCGTATATTACAAATAACGGTGAGGCTTTACTGAAAAACAATAATGCAGTCCACAACAAAATAATCCTCCATATTCGACAAATACAGTGTTCCGGAAATCGGAAAATCCGCAAACAAACAATGAATTTCATAGTTTCAAGAAGAAATGCATTTTAAATTCATTCTGGTTCATTCCAAAGAATGTTCAAAATGTTTTACTGACATCCTGACAATAATGAAGTCTGTTAACACCATTATTTGTTATATTGTGAAATGTTCATGAGGTAATTTCGTTTCAAACAACTCCGAGTTCCGAACTGAAATGTGGTTGTCTATTTTACATTTCAACAGTCACATATCACCTTAAAAACATCTACACGTGTCACATCAGGTTAGATATTTGCCCATTTAAACGGATCACATCAGCCTAGTTACTGATTTGGATAATAGATCGAGTTGAGTTTTCAGCTGATATTATGTTTCAGCAAGATAAGGTACCTCTTCAATACGATAGGCTAGGTCTAAACTAGCTAGATAGCAATTATCCAAATCGATGGATAATCAAACCTGATGTTATAACCCAATAGATCACCTGAAATGAAGCCCTTAGATTTTTTTGGGATTCTCGAAATCTGAAGTAAATATTACATAACCGTAGTCATTGCAGAGTTCATAGATGAAATAAGAAGTGCTGCATGTTAGTTAATAGACATCAAAATAATTGATGAATATAAATCATAATTTTGGAACTGAAATTGCTCAACCGAAACTTTAAAACATATAGTGAAGACACAAGTTCGGTTCTGCCTACTTGAGGGAGAATCTCTATGTTTGAGTCAGAATCTGCATCAGTAGAGGAGCAGGTCCTTCTCCCTGATCTACTTTCCAAACCACACATTTTGTTGCTCATCTATCTGATGAAGGAAGTTGCAGACTGACAGGCGATCAGGTACTGATCGTAAATAGATTGAAAAAAATGAAGTCTGTCAACTTTGGAGTGGATCATTTTTCACAAAAAAAATTCAGGCCCTGGTAACAGAGCACACACTCTTTGCCTGCCCCGCCGCGGAACGGATCAGATTTTCAGTGTTTAGTGCGAGTCCCACTCTTGCCAGCTGACCTGAAAGATCACTCACCAAATAAATTATTGGAGTTCGTTAAGTAGCTGGATACATTTGGTCGATTTTGAATAGGTGTGAGCCACACTAAGTCCTCGCGGAACAGTGGAGGGACTAATGAACCCATTCACTTTGAACCTACAACTTGTCAAAACTAGGAAAAGACTTGTTGATTATATATCTCTCTCTCTTTCACACATACAGTCTTAAAATGAATGGACATTCTTAGGGGAGGTCCTAAGCAGAGACTTTGAAATCGTTTCTTANGCCATTCGGTTGAACCTTACTACAACTTTACCAACATACGTCAGATTATGGCAGCAGATAAATTATCAACATTCCATTTAATGATATTTTTGACATTGAAATTGACAAACATTTTAGAATACAACCCTTTACAATGATAATGAGTACAGAGTTGAGTTCAGATGAATCAATCAAAGATCAGTGAAGTGTCTCGCAGTGTCATTCGATTCATGTCTTATAGATTTTTTGTAGATTCACTTGAAAATCACAATTTATGAAACTTAAACAGCATCTCCAGATGATTTTTGTCAACTCATTATTGTTGGACGTCGGAACATACCATCAGAAATATTTCAGAATGCCTGTAACTGTTCCTTCCTTATTAGACATTGAACATTCAAGCCATTTCCCCTAATATCTCTTGAACAGTGCAAAATATAGAAATCAAGAACGATATAAAAATATTTGAACACGAGCCATCTGTTTCTTTTTTAGTAAATGTAGTCAGTAATGCAGGATCTAAGAAAATTAACACTCTATAAAAAGTTAGGTATAAGCTGACCTAATCTAAGTTCAATAGTTTTTTTATAGTTATTTCATGGATATCGATGGAAGAACGTTATGGCTTCAGAGTTGTGTAATAATTCAAGAAAGTTTAGCGCCCTGTTATACCAACTTAGGACATGAATTCATGTTTTTCTCAGAATCATCCATATACATTACATGACATTGAGGAACACCCTATATATCGAAAATAAGAACTGAGAACACTTTGTATACTTTACCGAACTATCTAATCCCAGAGTTAATAGCATCATAAAGAAAATGAGCGCCCAAAATATGCTTCCTGGCATCGTGGCTATCGCAGCAGGATATACTATGAAGACCAGACCAGGACCTTCTGTAGCTACTTCTTGAATAGGTCGACCTGCAGCATGTGCCATGTAACCCAAAACCGAGAATATAACGAATCCTGCTACGAAACTAGTTGCTGAGTTTATAATGCTAGTTAAAATAGCATCTCTGAAACAAAAAATGTGTTAATGGTATCGATATATCCATACTGAAGCGCAGGAGAGATACATATATTGACTTCAATCTCGAAAATGCGTCTTTAATATCAAAAAGCAATTGCTCAGGTATATTGTACATGAATATCCGGGTGCAAAACCTATCATGTCTTGGATTTAATACACATTTTTTGTTAATTATATTTTCAAATATTCCATGAGTACATTCAAAAGTTTTTCACTATTGTAAATGTGAAAGACTGGTCCTCAAAGAATTAGAAAAAACATATACCGATGTGATAAAACCAATGAATTTGTTTTTTTGGCAATTTAGACTGAATTTGTAAGTATTTTAACACACTGAATTTGAGAAAAAATCGCTTTACAAAACAACAGACTGTTTCAGAACTTTTGGCCACCCTGTATGCACTGCTGTTTACACAAATTCGAAAGTTTCTTTTGATAAGATTGTGATTAAACTCAATGTACAAAATCAGACTTTACGGTTTCAATCTGCATAGAAAATGCATGAACTACATTTGATTTACACTTTTTTCATACACCTGAACTGTAACACTGTCATCTCCTAATAACCTTAATGTGGTTTTGAAATAATAATGAGGACAGATGCAGAAGGCTGTCGTTCTTAGCTCATTGCGTTTGCTCAGGGCACATGACTCTCGAGCTCAATGATCACTTATCTCACGGCGTGGAGAGTGGTCGTTGAAAAATAATGTTGGTGCGCCCTTTTGAATGTATTGGGGCTATGGGGGATAGGGCCCGACTAGCGCAACCTTCACTGCTATAATAATATAGCGGTGGTAGTGCCCCTGACTCACGATAGAAACGTCGTGAGTTCGATTCCAACCCCGACCAGATATTTTCCTCGAAAGAATTTATCTAGTTTTAGAATTATTCTGCGACTTAACATATCTGACGGACTACGAATAGCCGCACCAGGCTATACAAGTACCTACATTAATTATGGATCTTCCTAATAATATCATCGAGGCTAATGACCAAGCATTCAATGCCTTTGACATCGAAGTAATCGTCTTTATTACTTCGAATTTAATTTAAAGAAATAATGTGCTGTACATTTAATTGTTGTGTTAGTATTCAAATAACTTATTTAATTACTATTTTAAATTTCATCCCCGTTATGAACATTCTTGTTTCTTGAGATTTATATAGATTATTATTATTATTATTATTATAGGTGTAGATCATGCTAAGAAGTAACTTTCAGACACAAATTTTTATATAAACATTGAGTTGTACGAAAGAAAAAACACTTTCGAAATATGAACATATGTTAGGTACAACGATTTTTTGTGGAATTCAATCAGGTATCATACACGGGATTGCTGAACAATATAGTATATAAAAGAGTTTAATTGCAAATTGTACGCTTTCTTCCTTTCTTTGAAAGATTCCCACAATTTTTTGTATAAAGATAGAGAGGTAGAAAACCTTCATTTAAATTTCATAGGACTAGGAATTTCATTATATAATGAATCCTAAATAAGAATTATTCATTGTGTGATATGTATTCATTGTATTGTATTTGTATTGTATTTCAACCCAAATAAGTTTCACTTATCTATCGCTTGTTTCTGTATGTACCATCTCAGTCGAACAGAAATAGTTTGTTTAGAAAAAACATTAGTTGTTGGCTTTCAAATCTTACAGTCAATGTTACTTTCACATTTTACTTAGATTCGGAACTTATGAGGAAATTGTAAACTTTTTCTACTTACTTGTATACGTTATTGTGATACTTATTGTAGGATGCATAAGCTAGTAGCACACCGAAACCAGGCCCCAATGAAAAAAATACTTGGGTAGCAGCGTCTACCCAAACCTAAGAAAAGATTTATTATCAACATTATTGATCATTTTATGAATAGAGGCAAGTGATTTATGTATCAGTAATATATTGGCTAGATGCTATATATACCTGGCTACAACGAAATCAAGGAAATTTGAAATTAAAAATACACAAATACAATACGCATATATACAGATGGCTCAAAAACCAAAGAAGGCTCAGGATGTGGAGTTTACTCCAGATCACTAAGCCTAAGGATTAAGTGGGGAATGGGAGAAATACCAGCGTGGCTCAAACAAAACTGGCTGGTATCTCAATCGGCACAAAAAAAACCAGTAAAGGAATTTCTGGAAAAAAATAAAAATCTGCACTGATAGTAGACAAGCCCTATTAGCCTTGAATAGACAACGTGTTACCTCAGGGCTAATACTAGAGTGCCACCAAAATTTAGCCAAAGCCTAGGTAGATAATAACATTATCCTGAGGTGGGTTGAAGGGCACCAGAGGAGTGAAGGTAATCGCATAGCCGACTCTTTATCCAAGGTAGCGGCTGGACTGAAAATTTTAGGACCCAGTGACACTAACGGCCTGATGATTTCGACAATTGAGGAACCAGCCAAACGTCACACCCATGCTCAATCCCTAAAGAGATGGGATGGAATCAAAGGATGCAGTCTTGCCAGGATCACCCTGGGCGGCCCTGGGAAGCTGGCGCCGAAGAAATGTCTGGCGATGACCAGGAAAAACCTACGCTAAACAGTAGGACTTCTGACTGGCCACTATCAACTAAGGAAACACCTCCATGTTATGGGGCTAGTGGACACACCTCCATGCAGGATGTGTGAACAGGAAGATGAAACTCTCAGGCATGTTTTATGCGAGTGTCCGGAGTTATCGTCAATAAGAGAGTGTGCGTTCGGTGAGTCTTGGCCTACACCTGCCAATATAAAGAAGATGTCTCCTAGTGACCTGTCCACCTTCCTGGAAAGGATAGGATGGACGATGACCTAGGAGGATGACTCCTCGGGAGGATGTACAATGGGTCACATGTGGCTAAGTGCTGTGGGCCTATCCTCACCCTCCCTACTCTACAGATACAGAGGGTATATATCATCGAAGCTAATGATGGAACACTCGAAAATCTCTACAGGGTTAACCAGAAATGAACCCTATTGAAAGAAATTTGAATGGAACCCTGTATATTTTCTCTACCTTTCAATCGAATATAAAATTCTTTTTTCGACAATATAACACATGTTACACAATCGGATATAAAATTATCTTTCCAACAATAAAACACATGTTAAAATTTCTATTCATAAAGGCAGCGTAGGAGCCGTTTCCTTCAAATTCAATATTATTATGACGTCATTTATAGAAATATTGTCAAATAACTGGATGTAGAAAAAAACAACGAAGTTTTCGAATGAAAATTCAAATGTTGAAATGTTTCACTAATCCATGTATTTTATCCTTTTTTTTTTCAAAATGCCATTTTTTAGTTCATTCATCTACAGAATCTTGATAGAAATGATGTTTCTTGAACTCCGTCGTCGAAGTGAACCTCTTTTACTACAAAAAAATGTCGAAGATACTACGCTTTTAATTTTTCTGTGCTGGTGAAAATGTGAAAGTGTCAAAACTGCTCTAATACTACTTGTTCACTTTTTCACTGGTACAGAAAAATGAACAGTATAGTATCTTCGACAGTTTTTGTATTGAAAGTGGTACAGTTCGTCGTCAAAGTTGAAAAATATCACTACTCATTAAGATTTCAGAGATAAAAACTACATGGATATGTGAAAAATTCAAATTTTTGAATTTTTATTCGAAAACAGCATTTGTTTCTCCCTGAATCGAGAAATATTTATATAGATAACTTCACAGTATCGCCATATTGAATAGAAATGGCAACATGTGTTATATCGTTAAATGGTAAGGATTCCATTAGAAATTCTTTACTTGAGTTCATTTTCGATTAACCCTGTATAGATTTACAAGTGTTTGATAAAAAAAAATATCGGCTTCGATGAAATATACTTATATTCAGAATTTCAAGTTTCTCAACTCATAAACAACTAAATGGCACCGCATATAATAATTTTGCTGTCTCCCGGTATTTTGCTATTTCAGTTTTCGTAATTTTGCTGGTGAGTTGGTATAAAACCCAAAGAATATCGTATTGTATAGTGCGGAGTTCTGTGAACTGTTGTGGAAATCTCAAAATAAAGTGTTTTTTTTAATATGAGAATATATATTGTCAATATAAAGCGTCATGTGTTTTTCAAATCATAGTTGACATAAATTAGTCATCATAGTTTTGTAACTGAAACTGAACTGAATTGTTTCTTTATTACATTGCAATCATGACTAGTTACACTTTTGTTTGTTTTCAAACTAGAATCTAGGACAATATTTGGAAACTGTTATTTAGAATGTTTTGAATCTACATTTTTTACGAAAAACACTTCTGTATTTAACACTGTCCCGTCTCTACCTCGTAGATATGACCTTTACAATTGAAATTTCGGATAATATTAACATAATATATGATACATTATTATCATCATCATCCTTCACTATTTTACAACTTACAGTATATATGGTTAGTTCTATTTTTCATGTTTTATTTAAATATATTCAATGTACTGAAATGTACTCATTAGCCAATTCCTAATGATATTGAGTAGATAATAGTGAATTTAAATTAATATCTAATCAACATTTCATTTTGTTTTCAACTTAAACTCCAGATCTGAAATTTGTTTGATTTCGATCAAACAAATAAATAAAAATTCAATTTCTAAGGAAAATGTTATATAGTACTCGTAAATACTATGTTTCCAGTTTCTTATTATTTCACCAATTACTCTTGCTCCTTTTCCGTTTTTGAGCAGATGAAAGTTCTGAAATTTCACTCTATTAATTATTGAGACTCTAAATATGTGAAATGTTCACTTTGAATATCATCAACACCCTACATAATAAAGCTTCGTTGATATTCTTTTTGTTGTATATTATATACTTAATAGTCATAATATTCAATTTCAATAAATAGTACAAAATTATATGACATTTTTAAAAATCTCAGAACACTATTCTTCAAATAGCCAATTGTAGCTAACATTGATCATTTTCATTTCGATTAAACCCTATATGTTACCTCTGCTGATCCGATTGCACTGAAATTCGGGCTCAAATAATACTGAATCCCCTCTGCAGAACCTGGTAAAGTGATACCTCTGACCAAAAGTATCAGCAATACTGCATAGGGGAAGAGTGCCGTGAACCACACAACTTTTCCAGAGGTTGATATACCTTTCCATAACGAAAAATAGCAAATGATATAAACAGCTAGAAGGCACAAAGCTATGTCCCATTTGATGTCGCCAAGATCATGCAAACCAGCGCTTTGATGGAGTTCTAGTATTGCACGACTGAAACAAGAAGTTAATATAAAAATCTAAAATTAACTATTATGTGAGATAAAAAAACCTCAAAATCTAGCTACTTTAACATCATATAGTTCTCATATTGATTCATTTCTATTGTCTAAAAAAATGATCTTTAAACGTTCAAGCCAGTCTCGACCATACCTACACAGTAGGTTAAATGGACTGACGCCTATCAGAAAACAACTCCTCCCTTGGCTAATACCACGAAGGGCGTTGGATTATATCCAACAGGCGTCAGTGCAGGAATCTTCACAGAAAATTTCCTGCATATGCAATTGGCAATACAACTGAAAGAGTCGACCTTCAATTTTAGAACGGGCACACTTGCAGACCGGTTTCGGGCTCATTAGCCACTCATCAGTGCGAGATAGTGGCCATCATCGACCTGAAGTCAATGATATTCCATAATTGCAAATCGAAATTCTTTCAGAGTATTTCATTCCTCTTCCTAAGTTGGAGCGACCAACAAAATATCACTGCATCTAGTGGACGAGGTACTTACTAACTGCATATCCGAAATGTGCCCGATTCCTTTGGATAAGGAAGAAAAGCTTTCTTATTCGTCAGTGGGCTATGCTTGAAGACTGGCAGTAAACAAATCTAAAGAAATGAACTTTACACGGATATAATCCAACGCCCTTCGTGGTAATAGCCAGGGAAGTAGTTGTTTTCTGATAGGCCTCAGTTCATTTAACCTACTATGTAGGTATATTCGAGACTGGCTTGAACGTTTAAAGTTAATTTCTTCAGATTTGTTTACTGCCGGTCTTCAAGCATAGCCCACTGACTAATAAGAAACCATTTCTATTATACTGACACTTATTTAATGTCATAAATGCGAGCGAAGCCGCGGCTAGTTTGCTAGTTTGAATATAAAACTGAACTTATTGAATTTACAGATCAACAAAACTATCAGGTTGGTAAAAAAAGTTTTGTCCGTTTTTATGAGTCTACTTTAAACTGTAATATCTCGGTGAATACGAATTCAATTTAATCGAAACAAGCGATATTTGAAGCAGCATCCTTTTGCCACCGTAACATGAGTTGGTTAATTCCACAGCAAGAAAATTGAGTGCTCGGGATTCGACGAAGTCGACGAATGCCGTTTTTGCTTGTTCCTAATTGGCGAAGGTTATACCGGTGAGAGGGTTATCGAAGTGCTTGAAAGGATGGTTGTCGATTGCAAGAGGCGTGGGGAGTAAGGCGGGTGAGGTAGAATTTTCACGCTCAATTGATTTGATTTTTGGACGGTGATTTCTGAAACATGCGGACATTCGTTGTCGTGAAGAAGGAATGAACATATTCCGTTGACTAGTGCCGGCTGCCGCTGCCGCAGTTTTTGGTAAATTTCGTCGATTTACTCACAATAGGATCCTGATGTGATGGTTTGGCCCGGTTACAGAAAGTTATAGTGAATAACACCAGCCGCTGACAACCATATTGCAACCATGGCCTTTTTTGGTGGGTGTTTGCCTTTGGGAAGTGCCTGGGTGGCTCATCGGTGTCCAACCACTGTCCAGAACGTCTCCTCATGTCGTAGTGGATCCACGTGACGATCCGATCCAAAAAGGGATCGTTTTGGTTGAGGAAATGCAAAGAAGAACAATCCTCGAAACGTGACAATTTCTGTCGATCGTTCAAATCGTGGGGCACCTACTTTTAGAGCTTTTTTGTCTTTCCAATACGTTTGAAACTATCAAAAACCGATCGGGAGCTGACTCCCAGTTCTTCCGCTATCAAACGCATCGTTTGTGATGGGTCAGTCTCCACCAGGGTTCTCAAATCCTCGTTGTATATTACCGTAGATCGACTACTTCGGGGTCATCTTCGAGGCTAAAATCTCCGGAATGAAATGTCGAACACTATCATTTCCAAATGCCTGGTTTATTTTTCAGGCTGTTTCGGCAGCTCTTTTGTTCAATTCGAATTCGAAGGGAAAAAAAGTGAACAGCATCAATCTATAGATAGAGAACAGAATTCTCTATCGATCAGTATATACCACAACACAGTACAATAAATATTCAGTCGAATAGAACTGGCCGATACTGAAATGATGATGATGATGATGAAAATCCATATTAAAACATTGGACATGACCCACAGGATAATTTATACACTCCGGATTTTTCTGAAACTGAATTTTTATCTTTGTTATTCTTAATGTGCATACCTAAGTTGCTGTTGGTTTTTAAAGCAATATTTACACCTTTGTTGTGCAGAAAATCTGAAATATTTGTAGTGGGTTGGCCTATAAGTAGGTTAAGGTGTAGTAACTTCTATGTTATTCTCTTAGAATTGGGTAAACTTTCTTCAAAGCTTGGCTGTATAACTTTTTTGATAATAAAGAATGTATTAGACTGCTATCATAATCATTGTTGACGGCTATTTGTTTTATTATGTCCAGTTCTTTATTGAAATTCGCCTCTGACAAAGGCACATGTATCAGTCTGTGGATCATACTGTTGAATGCTGCTACTTTGTGCTGATACGGGTGGGTGGGCGAATTATGAATGATAATATCTGTATGTGCTGGTTTACGATAAATTGAAAAATCATGTGAACATTCGTTATTGTCAAGTTCAACAAATTTATAGAGTCGTCCTTTTCCATCTCCATAGTGAATGTGATAGAAGGGTGGAGAGAATTGATTGAATTCACATATAGTTGATGAATTCATACCTGACCTTTTCAGATAGATTCATTCATTAGAAAGTAGGAATACAAGTAGGTAATATGTTAGAGTATAAAAGAGTTATGATTTATAAGTAACTTTTAGAGTACTACGTAGTTTTTGTAAAACTCTTTATAGTGAAAATCATACAATAAACTGTATTAATTAGTTTTAATAAATATTCATTGAGATATGGAGCTACAAAATCACATGACATTAAAACGGACAAACCTTCTGAAACAACCTAATAATAAATACTGAAATTTCAATATTCTGATCTAGCGATAAACATTCCACAGCCTTTCTAAATTCTGTATGACTAGATATGCATGGAATATGTATTGGCATAGGGTTTCTAAGAGAAAGTTTCCAGTTTTGGTGTTAAGATGAATATGTAGAAATCTAGTATCTCTTTTGGTTCACATGGTATAAGTAATAATTGACAAGCCCCATTACAAACAAGTTTTCAATGAGATTGACAGAAAACCCATGCCTTGCTTATCCAAGATGAATAAAAGTTCCACCAACCTCGACATAGAACGCTTTCTATTGTTTCTGCAGCTTTTACTGCGGTTTCTACCACATAGTATTTACGTTCTAAACATAATAAGGTTTGCAAGATACGTACCCAATTCAAATGACATTTAACATTCTACCTTTGCGATTGAAAAAACATAGTAAACATCTATACACTCGACGGAGTTACGAAATATGTAAATGTTAGGTCGAAAAGGTGCAAAAAATACAATAATTTGAAATTAGTTTTTTGTATTATAATTAGGCACAAGAAAACTGACAGAAAATAAATTTCCAAGGACAAAACTAGAAATTTAAATTTTGTCAAAACGGTACCTATAATTTGAAACGGACTAGTAATTGTTTAAGAATACACATAGTCTCTAAAAAAATTATCTATGAATGGGATGTTTATCATTTTCACTAACATTCGATGTGAACAGCTGAGCTACCGCTATCTATAGTATTCACTATAACTGAATTATAGTTTTCACTTACTTGAAATACTCTGAAGCTGCTGATGCGAATCTAGCATCTGATGGTGCAGGTAAGGTTAATTCTGATCTATTGAATTCCGAGTAGTTTCTCGAAGGAAAATCAAACTGAAAAAAAGGTAGAGTTTGAACTGAAACCATATATATTTCTTTTTCGAAAGTATAAGTATTCATCTCTCTAATGCTTGTCAATATAATAAATACAAATACTTTGAGTCAAAACTGATGATTTTAAGATGCATATCCGGAATAGAGATACTTACTGGTCGACAATTAGGAGTATTCCAAGGATTGTCACAAGTGGTCCATGGTAACAAATCGGTGAATGATGCAAAAAAGAAACGTAAAGCCCAGGCTATTATCACATTGTAGTAAAAATCCACATAGAAAGCTATCAAAACCACAGCGTATCCGATACCTGAAATTATCATGAGATATTATAGAGTACAGTGTTCCAAGATTCATGTTACAAATAGAGAGAGATGAACCGAACATATTTTAATTTCATTTTGAGACTTTGAGATCTATTTCTACTTGATGGAATTCGAGGATAGGTATTTTCAGTTCTTAAAAAACAAGTCAGTCTTGTGAAGTGAATCCCTTTTTTCTTTTAAGGAATGTACCTTTCGTGCTCATGATACGACAAAATTGAGGCTGTATACAAAATTTAAAAAAATGTTCAGCTGCTTTGATTGAACCATCAATTTTTTTATTCACAAATTTCCGTAGATAACGCTGTCTGTACTTTCAATAAATTTAATTATATGTAGATCAGATATTATTACATAATTGTGTACATATTATTTGTCAATCATTAGAATCTCCCAATCCTACGAAATCATATTTTTTTGCCACACCACAAAAGGTAAATAATGCAAATGTATATAATCGGTCTGATTTCTTTCATTCTATTCTTTCAATACCTTTTCTTTACAATAATTGGTTCGAATTTAAAAATCAAATAATTGATAAACACTTTCGAAAAACATTAACAAGAAATTGAGAAAAATACATTCTTAGGACAATTACAACAATTACCTTCTTTTGCTCGGTGTAGAAATGGTGGTGATAACATTGGCGAATGCGCCAGTTTTCGAAAGTATCACATTGGCTGAAAAGTATCGGGCCTAACACATAGATGGCGCTAGCCTTACTGCATTCACAGCTTTTTCAGTTGGTACTAACCTTCAAAAGAAAGCTGTTGAAATTTCATGATTTCTACTCATATGTTTGTGAGTTATAACATGATGAAAGAAATTGTCGACCACTTCATTTGGTGTTTTGAGATTTGTTTTGGGAAGCAAAAAGTTAGGCCTAAACGAAACCGCTTCAAGGCCCCAAAAATACCGCTCTCTGAGGAANGGAAAAATTAAAGATATTCCCGATCACAAAAAGTTTAAAAAACGATTGAAGACATTTTTATTGGAAAACAATTTTTATTCACTTAGGGAATTTTTAAATCATAAAGAAAAGTGAGTTATGTTTTTTTTGTTATATTACTTTTAAAATAAATGTGGCTGTATGTATTTTATATTTTTCTACAATTATCTTCGATTTTCAGCTTTTATGTTTTTGTTTATATTGACCTGTCCTATGTATACCATGTGTACCTAAAAAGATGAAATATATATCTTATCTTATCTTATCTATCTTATAGTGCTAAGAGTGACACTACTTTTGTTATTTTCAGAACAATGGATCAAAAACAATTTCGTGTTTTGATTTTACTCTGCTTCTTGATGGGAAAAATACGGTTCAAACGAAGCAATTGTTTGAAAAGTGTTATAAGGACTCCGCTTCATCAGAAACAACAATTAAACGTTGGTTTGCTGACTTCAAACGTGGTCATAGAGACACCGATGACGCAGAACGCAGTGGACGTCCAAATGAGGCAGTATTACCAGAAAACATGAAAAAATCCACAAAATCGTTTTGAATAATCTAAAAAATAAGTTGTGTGAGTTAGCTGACATTATATAAATATCAAAAGAATGCGTTGGCTTTATATTGCCTATGAGAAAGCTCTGTTCAAAGTGGGTGCCCCGCGAGCTCACTGTTGAGCAAAAACAAGAATGTCTTGATGATTCTGAACAGTGTTTGGTCATGTTTAAACATATTTATCAAACCGGGATTTTTGCGTCGATATGTGACAATGGATGAAACATGAATCTATCACTTCGCTACAAAATGAAAACGATCGTCATCTGTGTGGAGAGCAACGGTGAACTTCGTCCAAAGCGCCCGAAAGCACAACAATCGGCTGGAAAGGTTAAGGCCTTGGTATCTTGGGATGTGCGTGGTGTAATATTCATCGACTAATATTCATCTATTAAAAAGATTTTTAATCAATAAAAATCCCTACAAGATACTCGATACTCAGGAGTTCCTTTTAGAAGTAGCGCTGTAAACATTCTTATGTATATGTAGATTATATATATATGTATATGTGTGTGTGCATCTGTGCATACGTGTATACATAAATAAAAGTTATATATTTCTATTTATATTTCTATTTTATTATAAACATGACTAATTACTGTCTTATTTTAATAACATGTATTACTTTTACTATCATTACGTATGCTAATTTCTATGTACCTGACGATTTCTATACGTGTTCAATCATGTTGAAAGAAAAATCGGCACTCCTACGGTATTGACGAGAGACCTAGGTTGCCCTACGCTCCGGGGGATATTGAATTCGTTGTGGGGAACGAGAAGTGCCAAATTTATTAGAACTGTTCGTTCCCCACCCTCAGGCTCATACAAGCTAATAAGCCTGATGTAGTTCTTCTCGACCACCAGAGCGAAACGATATTTGTCGTGGAGTTTTCAGCTCCTAGCGAGACAAATATCGTTAGGAAAGAGGAGGGAAAACGGATAAAATATCGAGATTTTCTCTTCGAACTCAGCAGGCTCTATCCAGATCACTCTGTAAAGATGGTTGTTCTGACTCTATTGGAGTCCTTGGTAGGATGAAATCTTAGCCGGACAGATGCCTAAGGCTGTCATTCTTGGCTCACTGCGCTTGCTCAGGGCACATGCTTTTCATACCCAATGATCACTTACCCCACGCTGTGGGGAGTGGTCATTGGTTGATAATGCTGGCGCGCCCTCCCGAATGTATCGGGGCTTCGGGGGACAGGGCCTGACCAGCGCACACTACGGATTATTATTATTATTATTACTATCTTGAGAAGGGATACACCATCATGCACTCCTACGAACGACAACCCTCAGAAGTCGAAACTTGTGCGAGCTAAGGATTAACGAGGTCTTACATTTTAACGTGTGATTCCTAACAGGGGTTGGACGATAGCAAGTAAAAATCTTTCGTTCAGACTAGGGCTTGAACCAGCGACCAACACGGCGGTTAATTTGAGTGAGTGAAGCACCCACGTCGAAACCAACCGGCTACCGTCCATTGAATGTCATTGGTATTACTCGAATATATTTCTGAAAATCTTCACTCAAACAACAACAACATATTTTCTGAAAGACATTACAACCATGTTATATAAGTAAAACGTCAAGACTCCGAAATATAAGAACAAACGACCATCGTGAACACATAAAGACAAGACGATAACAAGATCGACAATAGCGGAGCACATTCTTAAATTGAATGATTACCACGCAATGAAATGAAATGTCTTTCTTCCGTAACGTCAGCCGGTATCTGTTGATTTATTTTCATTAATTTTTCAGATTATGGAAGGTTACGAACTGAAAAAACTTCAGGGAGCAACAACATACTTCAATTTCAAATAATTCAACCATTATTCATAACTTCACTGGAAATCTTATTTTCCTTGAATAGTTTTACCAAAATAGTAAAAAGCATCAATGAGGTGTTTGGAGTATATAATTTATCGCAACAGACACACCTATTATAACATCTTCAATAGAATGAAATATGTTCCAGGTGTTACAGGTAAACAAATTCGGAAAGCTACGTTTCAGGAACGCCATGTTGCGATAATGAACTTCAAGAGGGAGGCGTGCTTGTATAACAACGTTAACACATGACAGGCTTTAACGATAGACACTGCCTTTCCCTAATCTAGTTGCATTATTGAACAAGCGCACTAAAGGTAAACAGTGAGCCAGTTTGTCATTTCCGATAGTTCTCAAATGTTCATTTTTGATCGATTATCAAAAATATATAATGAAAGTGTAACTAACCGCTGTCCTTTTTGTAGGTATGTATGAGCGTTGGTTCGCGCTAATAGTACCTATTATTCAGGTACGTTTTTCATTAATATACACTAATATATATACATGATGTCATTCATATTGTCATGTATGTTATATCTTGTTTTTCACAATTCACTTTTTAAAAATTGGTTTATTTCTTTATAAACACTTTATTACAATTTGAATATAACGTGAAAAACTTGGAACATTAACAGAATAAATATGAACTGTACTTGAGAATGATTTCTAAGTTAATGAACATCTTTCTGACCTCGCAGGGTCTATTTATACGTTTGGTATGAAAAACAATATTTGAACAGTGTCAGCAATTGCTTTGTCTGGAGCACAAGTGTTCATCTTGCTGATACTGCACAATAAGCACTTTTAGCAGGAAGCTGTTATCGCTTTGTAATTTAATACGTGTGAGACGCTAATTCGCATATAACATGTATATTAGTAACGTTTGACTGACCATATTGTTAATACCTTTGGACAATCGACACGATTATGGAATATTTTGTACAACATTAATTTATCTGACATTTTTCCTCTATCTGTAAGAGATAACAGAGAATAGTTTTTGAAAACTGAACAGATATTTCTATTGATTATAGAAATGTATGTTTTACGGGCTAATTGTTTGACACATTTATTTTGAACACTTTCAATTCTCTGTTGGTGAATCGTATATTGCGGATTCCAAACGACAGATGCATAGAGTAATATAGATTCAGCATAGATTTTGCGTTTTTGAAATGTCTAGTATGTCTCTGATAACGAATCCCAATGAACCACTACACATATTAACGGTTTTCTTTCTCTATGTGAGATTCAAAAATCATTTTGGAATCCATCATCACTCCTAAATCGCGTACTTCATCCACTGTTTTAATTGTAAGATTTCCTATTCGGTATTGAAAATCAATGCATGAATGGTTGCAGAAGAACTTCTCATGCTGATGCATTTATGGAATAGAAAAGTGACTGAATGTTAATGATATTTCAAAAACAATCAAACATCAATTGCTCATCAGTTGCTTTAATTCATCTACATAACTGTCCGCGTCATAATTTTTTTTCCTCCATTCACTTCGATACAAAAATCCCCCATTATGTCATACATCATCATTCTTGCAATCCTCGAATGCGTTAATGATCCTTGCTGGCTTTCCACCCGCTTTCGGAGGCAGCCAACACTAGAAATGTCTTTTGTGGCGTAAA